AACTGGGCTTTTGCAGTAGGATTTTGGGCTTATGTGATTCGAACATGGGAGTGTGCTGTATGGTCCCTTTTCAGGGTCGTATAGGCGCACTTTAGAGATGTCAAAGGGAGATGTATGCAGGATTAGGGAAGGTAACATCTCAATGGCAGCAGGCAAGATCAGTACGTCTACTTGGAGGTTCAGGGTAATTATACCCCGGTTCTAATTAGAGTAAACGCAGTTATAACCATATTATGGAACAGGAGGTGCCTATATTTGGGCTACAAGTACAACTATCATTGGGTGACAATTACCTTACACCCTAAACCCCGTACATACCTGTGACCTCTTACAGGGGACCCAAGACCCTGTATAACCCTACTACGCGGGCCTAAATAATTATCAGTATCATTTTGAGGTCCAACTGAGGTACCACAGACCATAATGATTATATGAGGAATATGGAACGATAATGATGGTAATCATTTAAGCCCCTATATTATATCTCTTAGAACCGGGTTATAGAGAACCTACAAATACCTTCCCCAACGGGATATCACTCAGCTTGGATCTTCGTTTTGTTCCGCAATGGTGGTCAATTGACGTAGGTGGCTTCCTGATCCATTTATGTAGGGTTTTGAGCTTAGAGCTCTGGATTTGAATCAAGGGCTTTGGGGTTATTGCTATGAGATATATAAACTGCTACTGCTATCCGTTCCAGAAGGTCAAGTTGCTTAGAATAAATACAACTTGTGTGGCAGATCCTTCATCCGCAGTCCCATCCACAAGATCCACATCACTTCCCCAAAGGGTCCTAGGTACCCATATGGGGAATACTTACCCAAACCATAGAGAAATTACTACTACAGAAACCATACTTTGTACCATATTCGTATTTTGGACCCTTTGGGTTCTTTCTCCTGGCGCAAAACGCGCATGCTTGCGCAAGCCCATTTGGCTTGCCTCTCTCGTTCCCTTGATTGTCGCAAAGCCGTGCTGACATGTTCATAGATTCTTGCCTCTGGCACTTGGTCAGCGTAGGAACCTCGGGCAACAAGCGGGTTGTTCTCAAAATTACGGGCCCCTCCTGGCTACAGATCAAATTACGGCACCTATTATTTAGGGGTACCCAAATTGGACCCTAATTTTGAGAACCACCCAAGTGCTCCTGAACAGGCTTTCGTTTCAGCTGCTTCTCGCCACTCCGCATTTTCATCTTGTTGCGCTGTGCCATCCCCAAGGGGGTGTGCACGGACAGCTGTCTTCTCCTGAGGCACTGGCCGTCTGCAACACTCAACCTAAACCCTACGCCTTAAACCCTAAACCCTAAACAGCCTCCAAACCCAACCCTACACACCAGACACCGGGCCTCAGACATGTTCCACGTGTCGTGGCATCCTAGCTGCTTAAGGAGGCCTCCTGTCCTTGCAAAAGAGGATCCAGGGAAAGACGACCTTGGCGACGACCCTGTTTGGAACAGAGTACATTCTACACCTAAAGGCGGGCAGTTCCGATTAGGGATGGGGGCCACTCATCAAGATCCTGGCAAGATTGGCATGAGCTCCCTGCATCCCGGCTCCAAACGTATAGTCCCCCTGAAGGCGGTAGAATATGGCGTTGGGTATATTATAATAAGACCCCCATATACCCCATATTCTATCTACTTAAGGGGAACTATAACTCCAGATCCAACCCGCACGGATTACTTATTCCCAGTCCCGCCCATTTCAAGCTGAATTGGTCGGAAACTTGTTGCTGGCAACATGGTTAAGGCTAGGAATTAGAGTTCAGGGTTTAGGGTGTACTTTTAACACGCGCATTTATTCTCCTATGACAAGTCAGGTTAGTGGGCTCAACCCCCACGGATCCTAAACTCCCCACACTCAACCCTAGATCAAAAGCCATCATCACTAGGAATCCCTAAGCCCTAAACCCTCAAACCCTAAACCCTAGACCCTAAGCCCTAAACCTTACATGCTGACACCCTCAGCTCAAGACTACTTAGAGACGTTGGGTTTAAGGTGTACGGTTTGCGGTTTAGGTTTTGGGCTGAAGGGTTTAGTTTAGGGTTTAGGGATCAAGGGTTTAGTATTTAGGGTCTAGGGTTACAGGGTCTAGGGTTTAGGTTATCTCTTGCTCTTACAGGCACTGTGGACTACGATCACTCCAACCGCTGTTGAACTGAACCATGCGCGCTGTGTTAGACCTACATCCCCTAAATCTCATACATCCTTGTTGTTTCTGAGGAAATGGGCAGCAAACATAGCTATCACTGTAGCGCTCTTAACCCGACGCCCTTCACCCTAAACCCCCTTAGCCCGAACTCGGAACGCTAAAGAAAAGAGGACAGTAAAGCCCCAAGCCCGGCAATCTTCACCCACAAAGCGCCCAACCTGAAACCCTAAACTCTAAACCCTAAACCTGTAACCACTAGCTGCAAGGTGCCTGCAGCTGCCGGTCGTCCGCACCATGCGACTGGTGCTTCGTCAGCTTGGTTCTGCGCCTTTGGCTATACTTAGGGGTTTAGGGTACTAAATTCCTGCTTGACCTTAGTATTCTATAGCGCCATATTTAATATCCACCTCCGGCAATGGGCTTAAGGTTTTAAATTCATGTAGGGATTAGCGGCTTCAGTTCTGGTTAGGGGGCAGGTGTACAGAGGGGTTCCACAGGGTCTGTCCCAAGGGTTCCACGGAGATCTTCCATTCTGGGAAAATCTTCCGGTGGGGCCCAAATGTTCGAGTCCTTTGTCGGGAGCCGAAACCCGAAACCCTAAACCCCTATAGAACCCTAAACTTTTAAGGATATAATAATGGGGCACACAACTGGCTAAACGATGGTGCTTCCAAAGTCTGAGTGCAGCTCATTTTCCAGCAATTTCCATGAACAAAAACCACAATTTAGGGTTCTGGGAAGGTCATTAGAATTTGCGCAGCCTTTGGGGTTTAGGTCTCTGGTTTTGATAACAGGAAAGGGCTTTAGGGATCATTCCAGGAGATTATATGGCGACTATTCCACCCCCCAACATGACAACCCGCATAACCTACGCATTTGTCATGAATCTTGACTTGATGGTTTACTGTAGCTGACCCAGGATGTTGAAAGCACGAAGACGTTTGTGGACAACAATGATGCCGCCACCTCCTAGCCGCATCACGCAGGCTTTTCAGTGTCAACAAAGGAAGCTCAGGGTTTCCCGCGGAGTAAAGGTGTCTAACACCTGAAGGGACATTCCGGCTTGCCAATCAACCCATTGGAGAGTGCAAGACCCCTGGGTCAGCCTGCAGATTAAATCAGTCAAGAAACTCTGTGGCACATGCGAGATGGGATCGCCATGTCTTGGAGCGGCCGTCGAACGCACAGGTGACATAGTGCTCGCAGTCTTTCAGGAGTCTCATGGTCTCAAAGCGGGCTGTCTCATCTGACCCTAAGGGTCCAAGTACCTAATTATCATATACTTGCCCAAAACCTATCCTATAACTACTATTACCCAAAACCCAAGTACCCAATTATTGGCTCCTTGGACCCTCGGGGTGACGTGATATTCGTGGGCTTGCCATTAGCCAAGGCATCCCTCCCAAAAAGCCGGCATGTACTAAAAAAACGAATATTTTGGTGTTATATTGGGGTGAAGTAGAAGTGTCCCAAAATTAGGGGTACCTTTTGGGGGGTTCCTGAAATAAGGACCATAGTATGTTGGGGTCTATATTGGGGTCCCCCTATTCGGGGAAACTACCAAGTTATACTTAATGGAAAACAAAATAGAAACTACTATTTAGGGCTTAGGGTTCAGGGTTTGTAGATCCATGATTTATAGTCTTTAGGGCTTGGGGTTTAGGGTTTAGGGTTCTAGGTAGGTTTAGGGTTAAGGAAGTAATGTAGATCCAAAATCAACAAACCCTCTCCATTTATGGGCCTTAAAGTTAGGATCCCTATTATCCTAGACCTTCCTTTGACTTACTTTTTTTGTGCTTTGTGGTCGGGGGTAGCCTTTGCGTGTGTTCTGTGGGGTTTTAGGGCGTCTCGTGCGTGCAAGCCAGGAATGGTGCGAGTTCTCTAGAAAGTGTGCGTGGGTAATTTGATGAAAGCTTAGGGTTTAGGAATTAGGGTTTATGCATACGCAAAGATGTTGTGATGCTCATGAGATGTCTTTGCCAACCACCTGCACATCGATGCTGCCTTTTTGCCGGGTGCTCAGTGATTACCATCCGTTCAACCGCTTCAAGCGGTTGAACTGTTCTCGATACATGCCCAAAGATTTCTGCATTGTACGCAAGGATTGGGACAGAGGGTGCACAGTTCGCGCTAGTCGCGATATCCTCCCTATGTAATCTTCATCCGCCCAGACTGCAGTACCTTGGTTTTCCAAGGAGCCAAAGTAAGAAACATGGCAATTATTATAAGTCTATGGTACTATCATTTTTGATCAACTTCAGCCAAGAAGCAGAGTGGATTTAGCGCCATTGTGGCTCGCCCCATTGACAGCACTGTATGTTGCGACAAATGCAACTTGGGTCTGATGTAGAAGAGTTGTAGGCCTTGCTGATGGCAAAGCGAAGCCAGGTAACCGTATCCCTCCTTAGCTCATGTTAAAACCCTTGCTAAACCCTAAACCCTATTAAACGCTAAGCCTAAACCCTAGCTAAACCTTAAACGCTAAACCCTAAACCCGGCCTAGCTAAACCTTAAACGCTAAACCTAGCTAAACCTAGGCTTAACTGCTAAACCCAAAAGGCCTATAAACCTGAAGCCATGTTTCGCACATGTCCTGTCCAACAGCCACAGCTTCCGCACGAGCAGGGTCAGGGATGAAAATGCCGTGGGATCTTAGAATTCGGAAGTAGTAGTTGGCACATTGGACCGTGTACTTCAGAGTCTGGAGCAAGCGGCCACTGCAATCCTGGGCTTAACCCTGAATCCATAAGCCTATTATAAATTACAACCCTACAAAACGATAGCCCTCAACCCTAGCTGCTTCTCCATCCATATACTGATCGATTTCTTAAATGCGTATGAGCCACAGACCTTGAGAGAAAGTCTTCAAGCCAGCCCAGGATAAGAGCCGTGTCGTGACCCTTCCCCCCATGCGTGGTAGGCCAATCAGCATTCCTGTTAAGGTTTATAAGTCTTGGCTATAATATTCTAGGGTTTAAGGTCTATGGGGCTTATTTCCGTTTAGGTTATCATTGTACCATTGAAACTTGCAAAATCTGGAAACCACTTTGCTAGCCTATACTCCACTGTTATTTTCTGGCAAGATAGGCAAACCCTATAGATCCCTAAGCCTAGCTAACCCCCTTTAAGCCCAAGACACGAGCTCATCTTGAAGTGTTGCTTGGAGAAGCCATCAACACCAGTGCTTTTGCACCTTGCATTCAAGAAGCTGATGTAATCTGCGAAGGCTGCCTCTAAACGAATATCCAAAGATCGCCCAGGCCAATGCCTTTTCTTCGCCAACAAGATGATGCTGGAGGCTGCTAAGTCCTTGCCCCAACCAATGTGAAAGCAGTGGCAAGTGTCCGGGTGGATATATTCAGGTCGGTCAAGGCCAGGGATATCCATCAAAGGGATCCGGCATGCATGGAAAGGACTCGATGATCGGGCTCCAATACTCCTACGCCAATTAGCCGCAGGGCCCAGGTTGTGCCAGCCCTCACACATGTTTTTTTTTTTTAATGCTTTCAGGGCGCTACCTTGTAGGGGAAAGGCTAGGCGTATTTGCTTATACATAGGGCGTTTACAAAGAATTCGATCTGAGCAACCACCAGGCCTCTGCATCGCAGAGATGGCACTTATCCGAACAGTTGTAGCCGACCTTCATATGGAAAGCCTTAGATTCAGCGGGATCTACATGTAGCGCAATCCAATAACATCTCTAAAAAGGACAGGCAGCTTTCCGAATGTACTTCCAATCCCCCTTGGCACCAACGCAGACCAAATGTAGTGTGACGCCATCCCCAACCTTAATCAGGCCAGGAACAACATACTACATGCATGTAAAATATACAGATCGAGTACGTATATCGGCCTAATTGCAAACTCGACACGTGAATCCCGTCATGGAAGAGCCTGCAGGCTTCCGTCGACCACTCCGTGTGGATCTGATCGAGGGTCATCTCCCCGGCAAAAAGGGCTGAAGAGAGGCTGCTGAAGAGGAATCGCGTTGTCATGCTGCGCCTAGAGGCCAGGGGCTTATGATGTTAGGGCTCTGGTTGTTACAGGAGGGTCTAGCTAGCAAGCATTGAAACCATAAAGTGCAAGGTTCGTGGATTCATTCGTCTCCATGATTCCCGCGTGGGAGATTAAGAGCTGCCACGCTTCTACCATCCATGGTCTCATCTCCGTGAAGGAGATAAGGGATGCAATGTCCCTGGTTGAGGTCTGAAGCATAGATTTGATGGTGAGGATCTATTTCTTCATAGATCGCCCAGAAACTAGCGAAAACCGTCTCCCAGGCTACTCGGTCTTCGAGGCCATGGCCGGCAAGCAGAACTTGCGGGTATTCTTTGAGGAGGCATTCAAGCCAGCTTGTCATTCGGAGTATTGGGTACCATATAGTTTGAAGTCGGTTCTTCTTCTTGAGCTTGATTGTGATCTGGATGACATCAGGCTTGATCGGAATCATGGCCCCAGTAGTTTGCAAGATCTTGTGGAGGTTGCGACAGGCATTTGATTTGGACAAGCCAGCCCTCGCTAGCTTCTGCAAAGTGTCATTGCCACGCCCTAGGTAGCCAGAGAATGAATTAGTTAAACCAACACAAGTAACCAGCCAGGGCAGCCAAGAAGCTTCTTTTTCTAACTTTGCAAATCATGCGTGCAATTTTGCATGTACGTTGCGCAGACTCCGCCTAGGCATCAGACAATCAAGCACATGAGCTACTGCCAACTTTTCCAACCGTTATTTGCTGGTGAGGCGCCCCAGACAAGTAATCATACATGATTTCGCCAGCCAGGTCGGAATCGACATCAGACTCGTCGCTGACTTCAGGACCTGCCCAGTGAGGGAGCTTGGGGCTATATATAGATTTAAACTTAATACGATTACAAAGGGCAGGAATGATAGGTTCAGGCTCTGAAGTATGTAAATGTACATCATGAAAACCCAGGGCCTGCAAGACCGCCTCCAATCTCCAAGTTGTAGCCATATCCCAACCCACCTGGCTGCAATGTTCGCTGATATACTCGTGTGTGGCGTTGTCTGCAAAATCCAGGATAATTCATTTTAGCTTGTCAAGCCTCGAGCTGATCTCCCATTTCAAATTAACAGCGCATTGTGCGAAGTTCGCACAGTGAGCAGCTAGAATCATCACCATAGAATGCTGGTGTAGCAGGATGCTTGGGTACATGACACGGCATGCCTAAGTGCTGTAAAACAATCAAAATTGGCTCAGGCACGTGGTAGCACTCTGCTTCCAGCCCCCAAAGAAGCAAGCCCTCACTTCTTCAGAATCTTCCGCTTTGCGGAAATCTTCTCAGCTTTGACAGGCTTGCTTGACTTGCCCGCTTTCCGCTTAGTGGCCTGAACTACCTCAACCCTCCCCTTGCCCCGCTTCTGCTTCACTTTCTCACCCTTTCCAGGAGCAGCCGCAGACTTGGCCTTCGCAGTCGGGTCCTTGATGGTCCTGCATGGAGGCAATTAAAGTCAGGTCGATATAATCTTGGGGTTACAGGCTGAAGGTCACAGGTGAGCCTCGCACGGTTCATGACATTGTTCAGGTTCATGTCACAGCGGGTGCACTTCACATAGCACTGAATGAGCTCATTCTTGAGGCTCCTTAGAGGTGTGTTGGCCTAAACCCCTGAACCCCTAAAGCCCTAAACCGCAAACCCCAGCTAAACCTTATATATATATATACAACTCCAAATCCGAAACCCTAAACCCTAAGCGAGCCGATGTACAGACCCCATGAGTTCCACCAAGACACACAGAGGGTTGCTCCTCCAGCAAGGTTTGCTCCTGTAGCTGCAAGAGCTCCTTATAGCAGGCCTCATACTCTGCTCGCTTGCTTGCAAGCTCCGTCACCATCCTGAGCCAGGGTTCGCTAAGTCATGGGTCATGGGGTGATTTGAATTGAAGTAGGGACTAGGCAGTTCCAGCAGTTTCTGGACTGGGCCATTATTAGCTTTGTTTAGGGTTTAGGGTTTAGCTAAGGTTTAGGGTTTAGCTAGGGTTTAGGGTTTAGGGTATTGAAATTCTGACAAGAAGCTTGGCAGCTCGGGCAGCCTGCATGCTCGAGAGCTTGTCCTGATCAGCTAGCGCATTAGCGATAATAATTTATACTGGTTAACTGCCCAAAGCTCCTCCATCTCTTCAGCCTTGTCAATCCGCTTGGCAGAGACATCAACGTAGGTGCCAATGAGGTGCCAATGAGTCCTTACACTGCATGGGTCATGATCATTTCGATCTAGCTGCATTCACCATATAGTATAGATAGCTAGAGCACATGCAATCCGGCGACCGAAAGGGTTCTGGTTAGCCTGCAGAATCGGCAAGGTGTTGCCACCTTTGCTGGTTTTGGCCACGGACTGGAGCTGGGCCGCGTTGGTCTGGACCTCATTTTGCCTGACACGGTTAACTGGGTCTGGGGTCAGGCTACGGTTTGATGATAGCGCGGACTTAAAATTCTCTCTAGCCTTGTCACAGCATCCTCGTTCAGGTGTGTGTCCTCCTGGAACATAGACCCATTAGGATCCTGAGCCAAAAGCGAAGTTAGACCAGAAAGAGGATACGCGCAAGATCACTTACCTATAGATTCAGCCATGAAACGTCCAGCTCAGCTGTAGTCCGCGTCTTAGTCTCTGTGCCGGTGACTGTGCCAAAGGCAAACTCATACGAGGTTGGGATTCTCCACTCATCAGCCCCGTGGACTTCAGATCTTTTTCAGCAAGCCCCGCTGGTTTGCCCATTCTCGTGAGCATCTGATCATATCCCTTAAAATCAGTCGCATGCACAGCACTCATACTTCCAGCTATTCATGGTGACAGATCTAACGCATGCACAATTAAAACCTAGCAGCTCAGTCCAGCCAAGCTGAGTCAAAGAGGCTTCGGTGTGCATGCCGCCGCGCACCCACTCCTCTGACTGCTGGCGCTTGTACTTCACAATTTCAGCCTCGACCACGCCAAAGTCACCATCAGCAGCCAAGTACATGGCATGAAGCCGGGCTCCTGTCTACACATGAGCTGTCTACACCTTACACTAGCTTTCAGGCACAAGCTTATTAAATAAGACAAGCCACGGCCATCCTTGCTGTTCCACATTTCAATAGCCGATTTGCTTGCTTCGCAGTGCTTCTTGTTCGTGTCCATGTACCTCTTCATCCTCAGATGGCGGCAGCCACCCTGAAGCAGAATTTAAAGACACTGCATGCACAACACAATTTGGAAAGACGAGTCACTTCCAGTATGATCCATCAGCATACATTTCTTGTGTGGCGCTGCTTCGGTCGGAGTTTTTGGACCCTGTGGAAGCTCGGCTGGATGCTGCACGGCCAGTGGAACCCTTGCCTTTGCCTAGACGCTTTGACTTCGGGGTGACTGCAAGTGGCCGCTTGCTTGGTGTGCCCTTGCTGGGAGTCTTGCTTGGTGTGCCCTTGCTGGGAGTCTTGCTTGGTGTGCCCTTGCTGGGAGTCTTGCTTGGTGTGCCCTTGCTGGGACTCTTGCTTGCTGTGCACTTCCTAGGACTCTTGCTTGCTGTGCACTTCCTAGGACTTTTGCTTGCTGCGCCATCCCTGAGACTCTCGCCTGGTACATCCTTCACTAGGGGCTGGGCCGGTATGACCTCGCTCGGGGTCGGCAGGGCTGCACTTGGGCTGTAAGAAAGAGTTCGAGGAGTCATCTGGGCCAAATAAGGAATTTCATCATGCTGGCTTGCAACAGCACGATCAGGAGTCACAGTCGCTGGGAACACAGGGTTCGAGTCCTGGCTGAAACCGCGCTTGGGAGCATCCACCAACATACTGTCCTGCCTAGTTGGTTGAGTCTGCATGGCCGGGGCTGACTTGGGGGGTTCATCGTCTCCAAGTAGCATGGTAGCTGGTCCACTCAATGACGACTCACTTTCGGTAGAACTGAGCGAGGTCTTGGAGAGCCCGCGAAGAGCAGCAGCTTCAGCGAACCCAGGAATGTATGCCCCACCATCCCCACGCTCCTCTACGAAGACTTTGCCTGCCCACAATTAGCATGATGTATAAAGCTAGCTTTACAATGAAAGGCAAGTTGAGTACTGCGCATGTTCCTGAAGCCTCCAATTTGCGGGGAGGGATCTTCACAAGTCTGTAGGCCAAGCTCTTGTTGTAGAAGCCTGACCCGCTCTTGAGCAGCCTGAGATTGATTTAGGGTTTGGTGTTTAGGGGTTAGCTAGGCTGCAGGGTCGAGGTTTACAAGGGCCAGCTTAGGAGGTTTGGGATTTAGGGTGTAGGGAGACTTTGCAATTTGCAAGAAACCTTCAGCTCTTCATCCAAAGCATCCGGGTTAGCAGCAAGCAAAGACTCCTCGACAGCCCTGTCAAAGGTCATCCCCGTCTCCATCTCTGGATGCTACGCACTACACACGGGCCTGGTCCTTGACTGATCTGACAGGGGTATGCCACGGTGGCTCAGCATGTCAAATGCGGGCAGGCGCAGATCTCGAAACATGGAAAGCCCCAACCAGAAAGCAGAAGAGAGAAAGAGACAAGAAAGAGGGAGAGAGCGAGAGAGGGACAGAGAGAAAAGAGAGAGAGAGAGAGAGCCAAAGAAAGATTAAAGAAATATATAACAAGAAAAATCGAATATTACAGAATCTTTAAAGGCAAAGAGAGAAGAGAGAAGAGGGAAGAGA